AGACTTTCCCAAGATGACGGCAGCCAGTCCAGTAAACACGTAGACGCACTTCAAAAAATATTCCACAATGAGAAAGCAAGGAAGAAAAAAAAGAAAGGAAGGAAAAGAAAAGAAAAGAGAAACAACTTGAGGGATGGCCAGGAGGCAATGACAGAGGGACAAATGTGAGACCGTACCGAATTTGTTTTTGGATGCGTGAGGCAGCACTGTTGGAAACAGAAGCTTTAAGAGTAGCTTTAACTGTTGTTCATGAAATTCGTTATATTGGAACAACACAAGGGAAGGATGACTACACAAACAGCAGCTTTGTTATAATCTGAAGTCTGTGCAATAAATGCATCACATACGGGCCACGTTTGTCATTATGGTAGTATTTTTTGTAGCTGTCAAACCGTATTCACTTTATTGCCCTTAATCCTGTAATTGTGGGCAAATGTGAGAGGACTCAGGTGAGATCCTAATTTTTATTTATTATAAATGTTATATCTAGCGCCAAACCGATATATCGGCCAGCCGATATTAGGAATTTTCCAAAATATCGGTATCGGCAGTTATAATGGCCGATAAGTGAATATTAAAAAAAATAAAATAAAAACGGGCGAAACACGCTTCAATCATCTTTCCTTGGCCTGTTATATTATGTATGTTTTACAATTTGCAGTATAACGTTATCTATTGCTAAATTATGGCTCATTATAGACTAGCTAACCACAAAGCTAGCTAATGCCACTATCATCAGTGGAAGACCGCTAACGTTAACATTAATGAGCTTGGAAACAACAATAATCTTTTTCTGCCAAGTAATGATTACTGTATTTATAATTAGCATCTCTAGTTACAGTCCCTGCATTGTAAAATGTAAGTTATACTTGCGAGGAATGAACATTTAGACATAGAGAAAAAGTATCAAACGTATCTTGTGCAGAAAAGTTGACTTTCCTTTTACACGTGTGTGAAATCCAACAATATTTAATAAAAAAAAATATCGGCCGATATATCGGATTTTAAAACACAAAAATATTTGTATCGTATCGGCCTTCAAAATCCTTTATCGGTCGGGCTCTAGTTAGATCACTTTCTTTGCTAAATTTTTGTCTATCCATTTGTGGTGTTTTTTTTTTTTTTTTTTGGGGTGTATTTTTTGTATTTATTTACTTCAAAAAGTACCATATTTTCTATGTAAATTATGCTTATTTTTGTTTTATTTCCTTTTTTTTAAACTACATTAAAATATCATTCCAATAAGTTCTTAGAGCTAAAACCTAAAGATAAAGTGACTTTGCTGTCACCTGGTGTCTTATTTTGGCTTATTTTTGAATGCTCTAAATTACAGTTTTTCTCATTCATTTCTATGCCCATTTTTGACCCAAATTTAAGGTTAAGGAGGATTAAGGAGGTTTTTTTCACCCACTTAACAAACATTATAGAATTTAGTCAAAGGATATGTCAACATATGATACGCTCTTGTTCAATCAGGAGGAGATGCTGATAAAATTAGCAAGATTGGAAGAGAGCGTAAGAGCAAGGAAGGAGGAAAAATTTGTCATAGGAGATTGGAAAACATGCCCCAAGTTGCAGTTTTTAACTCCATCCCATAGAGTGTAGAAGGAAATGAGTGCTGGCAGAATGGAGACCAACAGGGCATGACGTAATGAATTTATGAAGTGAGATCTGGGCATTTGGCAACTTTAATTGAGTTTGGAGCCCACAGCTAAAGAAAAGAGAGAGCAGGGAAAAAGAAGCAAGCCTGTCCTAGAGAATGCAGCTTTTCATTGAACGTGGTTTGGAAGGCTCAGACCTTGGTCCTGATCACCACCCACAAGCTCTTTTTAAAGCCTCTCAGAAGCTTCATTCTGCTCAAAACTTGCTTATATTTGTGGGAACATGCGAGTTATGAGAGACAGAGCAGAACGTTTACTCCAGTTTGCTTGCACAAAGCTAAATCAGACTTCAGGGATGATCACACTGAAAACGTTGACAAAACAGCTAGAACGTTAATTATTTTCAGTAAATCAATGACAAATAAGAATGTTAACGAAGAAAAAGGATATGCGAGTAGATAATACGTATAATACATTTTCTTCCGAATTGTTTTGAAAAGATTTCATGACATTTAAAAAAAAAATGTGATGTTCAGTCACTAAAATGTGGTGTGACCAGCAAGTCACAGATTTTCCCTAAACCTTGAATGCATGTAAGTGTACAAAATATTATTGTTTTTGAAAGCTTACCTCACATGACCTTTAATTTCATAAAAAAAAGTCAAATTATCTAATATGTTAACCCCTTAGCTGTCACCCCCCTGTTTGAGAATGCATTATTCAAACTTAAATGGTTGGAATTCAAGAATGCTTTGGAATATATACCCAAGTTTGGTCTTGTTTTAAAGAAAACACTTGAAAACAAATGAAAGTATTAAAGTTATGGAAGTTTAAACTTACAGTAAATCAAATATACTGTAGTATTTATTTTTTATTTTATATCAAATATATATTTTACAAAATATTTATTTATTTATTGAGATTTAAGATTTTTTTGAGGTGCATTCTTGTCATAAATTCATCAGTTATTGTTCCTACATAATTTGGAAAACAAAACAGGGGTAGAATATTTATTTAGAAGTCTTTGACCTTTCCAACGATATATCATTTGTCATAATTAGATTAGGATTTATAGTTGGTTGCACCATGTGACTTATCAAAATTAATTTTAATTTTGAAACTAAAAAACAAGCTCATCATAGAATTGTGGTAAAGTTATTTATTGCATGATGTAATTGTGTTTTTGAATGAATTAGCATTAATTAGCCAAATTAGCATCAGGTCATTGACCCCTAGTTGGACACAGCTTTTTTATATATATATATATATATATATATATATATATTATTCCCAAATCTTTAAATCCCTTTCATGTTTAGCTTGGATTTTTTTATTAGGCTCTTTTTTAGAATGGTGAGTAAGTTTGCAGATGAAAGTGTGTGCCATTTGCAGGATTAAATTTTAAGATTGTCACATTTGGAAAAAAAATTGTCTGAGAGTAGATTGCGGCTGCTAAAATGACAGACAACCGAGGAAGAAGGAAGCCTGAAATCTTGAAGCCGTGTTTATTTCTGCTTTCTCCAATTCATCTCCACATGTTTCTAATTATTAGTACTGCAGATGAGAACAAGCAATGCTTGTATTTTTCTGTTTAAATTAGTTGAAAGAAAGACGATAAACGGAACACTTTCTAAGAGAGAAGCGTTGGCTCTTATCGGTCATGTGCAAGGGTGTATTGAAATTCATCTTACTACTTTTTCTTCATCTCATCATCATTTTTTGTGCAATTAATTCTGCCAGACCACATTAAAACCTTGTTTTATTGCTACATTTAGGTATTTTCTTTCTATTATTAAACCGTTTTTAAGAACTTTTAAGAATAAAGTTTGAATGTGGGCACACTCTAATATTTCCTTCATGAAATGCAAATCTTTTATCAGTTCTCTGACAAAATATGATGCGGCTTTAAAATTCATACGTGTTGTATTTGTCATGTGTTGTTTTTAGATTAACGATTAATTAAAATGAATAAATAACAGCCCCAATGTGCATCCGTATGCATTTAAAGAGGCTCACGACACGCGAACATCACATATGCGATTCATCACCAGTACCCACAGGAATTGACCATTAAATCTGAACAATGGCAGTCTTTGGCATCACATTCTACCGTCACCCCTTCAGTGCAAATATTTAATACGTTTTCCCATTTCAGCATCTCTCTACAGTTTAACGTAGTGCTTGGAAGAAGATTTAAGAAGTTTCACATGTGCTACAGGTGAACCATGCGCCAACACTTCAGCACAGAATGTTCTCTGAAGAGTAACGGCTTTTTCTGTGAGCGGATTTTAGCTAGCTTTATGACTCTCAGAGGAAACATACGTTTTTCTAACCTTTCACATTTTAGCCATTTGGTTTGCTTTCACTATTACGGCTATCTGCATATTGTGTTTACAGAGGACGTATTTGTGCATCGCATCTCACCGTTTTTGTTGCACCGCGTTACATGACACACTAAGCACTTTCTGTACGTAAGATTATGTCCTCTTCATCTTTATTTACAACATTTGGTTTTGTTCGAATTGACGTCTACTGGTGCTGTTCCTTGTGCAAGGGTATTATTGGTAACAACACACACTAGGTTTGTGATTAGCCTTCAGAATGCCCAGTGTCAAGAGGTGTGTGTGCGCAATGAGAGAAGGTAGACGTTTCTACATGAGGAAGTGGTTAGTGTAAAACGACCTTCTGTCTTGGTAGGTTTGTTTTCCTTAACTAATTTTTTTTTATGAATAGAGTCCCTTATCCCCTACTAACAGTACATAGCTACTCAGTAAATCATATTTCCAAGAGCTTCAGCCAGAGGAACCATGAGGAGCACCAGGCAACCAAGAAACATGCTACAATACAAGCCACATTTTAAGAAAAGCCTAGAGTAGCCGGCAATGTTTTAGATAGCACGGTCGAAATCTCTATGAGAGTATCAGTCTCCAAACATGCTGAGAGAGCAGCTCTTAACCAAGCAAACACACCCATCCAGATGCATTTGGCCCCAATGCATGACCTCGAAGTGGACCAGAAAACACCAAGAGTCAAGCTTGTCTCTTTTTTCTGAAAAGCAAACAAACAGAATAAGAGGCGGAATTCTGGGTAATTCTCTGCCTTTGATGTTTGTCCTACTTCCCTGCTCTTGATTATGAAGAAAGACAAAAGTAATCCAATGCAAACTCTCGGAACGACCCTATGACTAGACCGCTTGGCCCACCCGTACCCTGGCTGAGTGCACAGGTCAGAATTCATTCAGAAAAAACAAAGAATGTACAGGTAAAGGCCTGTTCCAAACAAAAATGAAGGTAAACTTCCAGCTGCTGACAGACTGAGGGATGAAAATTGAAATAGTAGAGTGGAAAAACAAACAAAAAAACAAGTGAGTCAAGAACTTTTACCCAGGTGTCTTCTGACCTTTTATTGCTTTGAGGTCCTTCGTGTCTTCCGTGATTCCTTATTCTCCCAGTGGCTCTCTAAAAGTCCTTAAAGTTGCACACATCTCTTTTATCCAAGGATATTAATGCCTCCCCCGGTTTTGGATCCCCAGTGCCCAGGACGCTGCTCAGCCTTGTAGCGAGCTCCTGTCCGAGGGTTCACGGGATCTGGGGCAGTGCGCTCTGGAACCCTTCAGCTACTTTCTGGAGACTCTCGGACAGCAACTCCAGTTTTTCACTAAGGATGAGGGAGGGGGTAGATGGACGGGATTGGGGCATGTTTTTTTTCCCTCTTCCTTTTCTCCTTCTCTTTTTTGGAGGGAAGAGCCTAACTCCTCCTCTGATGTAACGGGTGCTGAAATAGAGACAGAACCACTCGACCCCTTCTAAAGTTTCACCTCCCGTCAAACCTCTCATTCTTCAAGGGAGGAGGAGGGGGCGGCAAGCGGTGGACAGGGATCTCTCTGAACTCAGGGAGAATAGGCTTGCGGTCTGTGGAGACGACTGAGAGGACTGCTTTTGCTCACAGCCAGGCAGCGCAGGACTCCACTGATTTCTTCCTGTGGTCTTACTAAACGCACATGCTTTCAGGAGTCCTGAGAGGATGGCACACGTTGAACAGATAATGATCTACCCACACATGTCTCTCAGATGTTTGTTTAAAATGGAAGGAGGAAACTGAGGATCATTTTGGCATGTGTTTGAACAATCTGTCCAATGAGACCAGAATGTCCTTCCCTTGTTTCCTTGTATGAATTTATAGCAGTAGTGCTGTTTGCGGGCAGTCACGACTGTTTGTGTGTTTGGCTCTTGTCTGAGCTTCAGAAAGATCTTTATAGGGATGTTTCACTCATAGATGAAAATTCACGATTTGCTCACCATCATGTTGTTCCAAAATTGTATGACTGACGGACTTCAGTGGGACTTAAAGGAGTAGTTCACTTTTAAAAAAACTTTTGCTGATAATTTACTCACCCCCATGTCATCCAAGATGTCCATGTCTTTCTTTCTTTAGTCGAAAGGAAATTAAGGTTTTTTATGATAAACATTCCAGGATTTTTCTCCGTATAATGGACTTTACTGGGAACCAAACTGTTCAAGGTCAAAAAGACAGTTTCAGTACAAACTGTTCAAAGGGCTTTAAACGATTCCAGATGATTAATAAGGGTTTTATCAAGCGAAACGATCACTCATTTAAAAAAAAAAAAAGTTTAAGTTTTATAAGCTCAAATGGTCGCCTTGCTCTGTACTGTAACACACGTTTGTAACTCTCCTGTTCGAACTCGTTCATCAAAATGAACAAATCTTTTCCTGAGTCAATTTGTTCATTGCGTTCGTTGAATGAAACAAATGACATGAAAAAAGATTAGTTCATTTTGATGAACGAGTTCGAACAGGAAAGTCATGAACGCGCATCACAGAACAGCAAGGCGACCATTTGAGCTTATAAAACTTAAACTTTGTTGTTGTTGTTTTTTTTTTTTTTAAGTTTTATAAGCTCAAATGGTCGCCTTGCTCTGTTCTGTGATTCATGACTCTCCTGTTCGAACTCGTTCATCAAAATGAACTAATCTTTTTTTCATGTCATTTGGTTCATTGAACGAACGAAATGAATGAATTGACTCGGGAAAAGATTTGTTCATTTTGATGAATGAGTTCGAACAGGAGAGTCACAAACGTGTGTTACAGTACAGAGCAAGGCGAGCATTTGAGCTTATAAAACTTAAACTTTGTTTTGTTTTTTTTGTTTTTTAAATGAGTGATCGTTTCACTTGATAAGACCCTTATTCGTCGTCTGGAATCGTTTAAAGCCTTTTGAACAGTCTGCACTGAAACTGTCTTTTGGACCTTGAACCGCTTGGTTCCCAATGAAGTCCATTATATGGAGAAAAATCCTGGAATGTTTTCATCAAAAACCTAATTAATTTCTTTTTGACTGAAGAAAGAAAGACATTGACATCTTGGATGACATGGGGGTGAGTAAATTATCAGCAAAAGTATTATTTTTTTTTTAAGTGAACTACTCCTTTCAAGGACAATATTTTAAAGAATGTCTTTTGTTTTTTTGTCCATACAGTGTCAAGCCATTGACTTTCATTGTATTAACAAAAAGAATTGAAACATTCTCTAAAAAAAATCTTTTAGAAAAAATGTCATGCAAGTTTGGAACAACACGAGTAAATTACACAATTTTTATTTTTGAGTGAACTGTCCGTGTATGGACCTTAGTTTTCCATTTGATCTATGGGATGAACTACTGCACTGGAACAAATGTTTAAGACATTATTTTGAATGTATAACCACAAAGATGTAAACATATTAAATGAGCTTACATGTGACAAGGGTGATAAAATCGCTCACTAAAGTCTTTCAACTGCTTTCAGGACCGTGTAATAACAGTAAACCCTCTTTTTTATATGTAAATACATTTACATGCAAAGTTTTCCACTCGCAAGAATTATGTCATTAACGCATTAACAGTCCATCCTTGAACAGTAGTTTGACTGAAAAAGGCCATTTATACATTTTACAGAAGGTTTTTAACAAAATCTAAGCTGCATATTTCTACTTTCTATGCCCCTGGAACTGTAAAAACTCACATTTGAAATTGCATTCATTTAAACAAATTTTAAATTGTTTTTATTTGTTATAACAAACTGAGGGACAAGTCAAATTTATGTACTGTCGTTATTGACAGCATGTTCTAGATACAAGGATTTTGTGAAAAATTTAGTTTTGATCTTACAGGTTTTTCTTTTTGGTGTTTGATCTCTGGTCTAGTTTAGTTTGAGTGTGAGTTTGTCGTTTATGTATTATTTTTAGTGTGTGTGTGTGATCGCCAGAGGTGTTTAAATGAAAGTGTGATGTCTGAATGGCTGGACTTCACCCTCCTAAATGAGGTGTTAAGGAAATGGACAGACGTCTCCTGTTCGGTAGATTTTTCTCCCGTTCTGCTTTCCCACAATAATATTTAGCTTGCGCCTGAGCTTTGTCTGACATTCACAAAGAAGTCATCTCTCTTCTTGTCTCACGCTCTTTCACTTTATACATTGCATCAATGGTAAAATGACATGCACTACTGTTCAAATATTTTGCATCAGTAAGGTTTTTTTTTTTAAGAAATGAATACTTTTATTAATCCAGGATACATTAAATTGGTCAAAAGTAACAGTCAGTAAAGACATTCACATTGATCCAAAAGGTTTCTATTTTAAATCAAAGGTGTTCTTTGGAAATTTCTATTCATTGTCCTAGTAACGAGCAGCGGTTTTGATAGTAATGAGAGATGTTGACATGTGACACTGAAGACTTTTGAGTAATGATGCTGACAATTTAGCTTTGCCATCACAGAAATAAATTACATTTTAAATTGTCCGGATTTTTTATTTTTATATTATATTTTACGATATTACTGTATTTTGATCAAATAAATCAAATTGTACCAACCCCAAACTGTTGAACAGTGATGTATTTTATAAACAGGCAGGGGGTCTAAAAGTGTAAACTTTTTGTTTATATATTGAATTATTTATTCAGGTTTTGAAATTTATGGTTAACAGTTTCACTGGTCATGCTTGTAATTGTATAGTTCTTCTGTCAATCACTTGCTTGACTCCGCCCACTTCACTTTCCAATCCCAGCACTCCGTATCCACCCACACTACACTATGTATCAAACTTATTGTGGGATTCTCATGAGTAATCTGGGATTGATTTGTCTCGCATTATTTTCAAACTTTCATTTGTCACACTGTCATCCACATCTGTGGCTTGTGTAGTGTTGTTTTATGATGATCATCCCAGATGTGACGCTCTGATGTAATGTCTGTATAGGACTGGTACTTGTTTGCAGTCCCAAGATTATATTCTTATGAACATGCTGTCACAAACACACTTTAATATCATCAATATTCCCATTTTTCCAAACAGTGTGGCTGTAGAGATCAGCTTCATGCTGCCAAATGTTTCTCCAGAAGCTGCATATCTTTATTCCTAATGCAGACAGTTCCTGCGCATAATGTTCCTCACTAATCCAAATATTTACTCAGTATGAAGTAAGCTCTCTAGACGGGATGGAGAATGTCTGTCTGTCCACCTCCCAACAGACAAGAACAGAGAACAAAGAAATTGAAAGATTTCTGATAGAAAAGGGGAAATACACAGCAAGTAGAGAAAATTGCTGCTTGAAATAATAGGTCTCTTTTTTAAAGATGAAAGTCGCCAGGTTGCTATTTTACTGTAAATTGTGCGTTCAAAAATTAAACGTATTTGCGTATATGTGTATTTGCAGGTATATATCTGTCCGATCTGACCTACATCGATTCGGCGTATCCCTCCACTGGCAGCATTCTTGAAAACGAACAGCGTTCCAACCTCATGAACAACATTCTGAGAATCATCTCAGACCTGCAGAGATCCTGTGAATATGGTGCGTATCACATCATATATGTTGTTTATTGATATAAACAGAAGACCCGTTCACACCAAGCACCATAACTATAACGATAAATATACTGTTCTAAAAATCCTCCTAAATATTAAAGAATAGCCGAGTCCACACCACAACTATATCACGAAGAAACAATATCATTGGAATCACTTTGAGAAAGATTTATTTTATTTTTTTTTTCAGTTGATGAACGATAAAGACATTGACAGCCAAAAGTGTAATCTTTTTATTCTCTCTGTCTGGTGTGGGGGTGGGTGGGGCTGTTTGTTTAGTTTTATTTTATGTATAACAATCTTTCTGTAAACATTTTTTTTTTTTGAGATTCGGATATGTTTTGTGTTGTATAAAAAACTGCTACAAATAAAAATTATTAAAAAAAAAAAAAAAGACATTGACAGCCAATAGGGATGGGCAACGATTAATCGTGATTAATCGCATCCAAAATAAAAGTTTGTGTTTACATAATATACTGTATGTGTGTGTAGTGTGTATAATTAATTTGTATATATAAATACACACACATGAATGTATATATATTTAAGAAATATTTGCATGTATATATTTATATATATTTATACATAATTTATATATTTGATATATTAAGTACACATTTTTCTTAAATATATACATGCATGTGTGGGTATTTATATATACCAATTAATTATGCACACCACACACACATGTATTATGTAAACACAAACTTTTATTTTGGATGTGATTAATCGCGATTAATCGTTGCCCATCCCTCAGCCAATCAGAATCAATCCTGCTTTAAAATTGATCATTTAAAATTGCAGACGACAAAACTACTTAGAATAAACAGAATGATATTGCTGACACTAATATAGTAAGCTTTATACTAACAATCCTGGTGTAAACGGGTCTTAACTGTGTGAATTGATTTGTCCCGCTTTCTCAGATATCCCAGTATTGCCGCATGTCCAGAAGTATCTCAACTCTGTTCGCTACATTGAGGAGTTACAGAAGTTTGTGGAGGACGACAATTATAAGTGAGCGGGAGCTGTTTAGATTAGATTTATATATTATAGTTTTAGCGTGAGTGTTTAGTGATACCATGTTTGTGTACATATCAGGTTGTCCCTAAAGATTGAGCCACCAGCTACCAGCACACCTCGCACCACTGCCTCGAGAGAAGACCTCACAGGTGAGAAGCACTCGTAGCCCACACATCGACGCTAAAGGCTCACGGCAAAGTTATTTTTCGTTCTTCTCTAGGGGTAAAACGGAGTTCGAAGATGTTTGCAAACATTCCGACACCACCCACATTTAGATGAATATGGTTATATGTATTGTGCGCATTCCTCTCAATAACACTTTAAAAAGCATCTGTCTGCAATTCGGAACTCCAGTCAAGTCACTATTATTTCTATACTACTTTATAAAACGTATTGCTTTCAAGCAAGCAGCTTTACAGTATTAAACATGTCTTTCAGTAAAGCAGCTCTCCAGTGTGTTAATGTTTTTACTTTGGTTTGACCTTGGCGGCTTTAATAGAGAGTAAAAGAATAAAAGAGTTAAACACGTTTATTTTCACACGCTGTTGTTAATAATTAGTTTGTTTGCTATTTTTGACACAGGTCCAGACACATCTGCGTCACCGTTATGTTGTCGTCGTGGTAACGTTGCAGAGGGCGCCCTGCCTAAAGTCCCACCAACGCCCCCCTCACCCCGGAACCTCATCACCTACGGACACAGGAAGTGCCACAGCCTTGGCTACAAGTGGGTTTGCTTCATGTGCTCCATTCATTTTTATACATCACACTCCTTTCTGATTCGTTCTTTCTTTATAGACCAAAGGAATAGGGGGAGGGAGTCAAATGTTAGTTTCCAACAAGATTCTTTTGTTTCATAGACCAGTGGTCTATCTCTTTAACCAGTTTCCACTTTTCCAGTCTTAAAAAAAACATTTGACACTTTACACAAATAAGTAAAAAAATAGTTAGAGGGGGAAAAGATGAAACAAAGGTGATTTCAAAAACTACACAAAAAAGTTGCCCTCAGGACAGGAGTATAAGCTATTGTATGAACTATTCATTTTATATGAAAACATTCTGACATTTTAGATGTTTTAATACTGTTTATGACTTTGATTTGTGTATTTGTTTTTTTGTTTTTGTAATACTCAAGCATTAATATTTTTTATTTACATATATATATATATATATATATATATATATATATATGAAGAGTTCAGATGCAAAAGCCTCTAAGTGCCATCTGAAATTTTCTTCTAGAATGATCATTTTTATCAAGCTTGTATATTGAAGTTCAGTGATTTCACTTAAATAACAATTAATAGGTAATCTTCATTGTCATTTAAGTGAAATCACTGAACTTAAATATACAAGCTTGATAAAAATGATCATTCTAGAAGAAAATTTCAAATGGCACTTAGAGGCTTTTGCATCTGAACTCTTCATATATATACTGTGTATATATATATATAAAAAAGGTAAACAAGATGCTTTTTTGTTACAATTTTAAGGAATGTTGCATGTTTTTAAAGGTAATTCAGAAGTAGTTGTACTTAAAATGGTGTTAAATTAATATAAATTCAACAGATTGTCAAAATTGACATTGCCGATATTAAATTGTGCGATTTTATTTGTTTGTCAAGTCATATTTATGAATGATATTACTGATATTAAGTGGCATATTTTTTCAGTTTTTTTGTCCGTGACATGGTACACTTTGCAGTAAGTGGTCTGTAGCATAAAGCTTCCTGTAGCTCAAACAAAAGAGCATTGGCTCTTACAACGACAAGGTCATGGGTTCGATTCCCAGGGAAAGCAAGAACGGAGAACAGATAAATAAAAGATATACTTCTGTGCAGTTTCTACAAGGTCTATATGTGATAATCTTCTGGTTTCTGTTGATTAGGAAATCTCGATCTTCTATTTTTCTTGTGTGTGCTGCAGTTTTATCCACAAAACAAACACGGTGGAGTTTAAAAGCGCAACGTTCCCCAACGCCGGATCCAGACATCTGCTGGACGACAGTGTGCTGGAGAGTCACACACCCACACGTGGGCAGGCAGAGAGCTCAACGCTGTCTAGTGGCATTTCACTGGGTATAACACACACACACACAGAGAAAGCTGTTTGGTCATGCGCGATGCTTCTTTTTTTTATCAACCTATGTCATGATCTTGTTTCAGGAAGCAGTGAAGGCTCAGAGCTCAGTGAGGAGATGTCTTGGCCTGCCTTTGAGAGGTGAGTCCTAAAATATTCACACTTGCAGACACAGTGACACATGCACATACTATACATGACCACATGCGTGGGTACATGTGGACACAGCATGTCTTCATGGAACATGCTGGAATTTGACGCAACCCTCCGCACCGGGAATGTTCCTTCTTTTTCCATCATCTTCATCATCATTTACTTCTACATTTCCATCGTTTACAGTTGTTGCTAATTGGTTTATTATTTATAATGAATTGGCAATCTCGATTGTGACGTAAACCTGCTTTAAGACTTATAGTTTCCCATACTTGAGCAGCATGTGCTTTGTGGCACAAAAGAGTGTGTTCTGCTTCCCTCAGCTGCCTGTGCTTTCCTTTGAGCCCAAATGATCTTCATATTCCCTCATTAGTGCTCTACCTCTATTGTAGCTAATGAGAGAAACTTCCTGTAACAGGAACAGGGGATGAGAGAGTCATTTGTGACGGCTGTTGCCTGCCATTCTACATCAGGTGTACACTGAGGTCCTAGCTGTACTCTAAATGCATGTCCAAGTCTCCTTCTATGTTCTTAAAGGATAGTCTAGGTTTATATTTACAATAGGAAGATCAATTACAATCATTTATTAATTTGGCCATTTTGAGATTATCAACATTAATTGGACGGCAACCCTGTTTGATTGGCTTTGTGTCATTTTCGAATTCTAATGATAGCTTTGTGAGTGGTTAATACAAATTTGTTGTTTTTCAAATATTTGAGTAAATATGTTCATTTAATTTCTGTTATTTTGCATGTCATTTATTCTCATTAAATCTGTTCACGACTCTCTAGAATGCGTGATTGTGATTGGGAAGAATTGTGTGAATATTTGTCAAAATGCTGTAAAAAATAATATTGTGAATTATTACAATTTAAAATAACTGTCTTCTATTTTTTTAAGTTATATTTATTATTGTGATGGCAAAGCCTTTTTTTCAGTATTCTTTGATAAATTGAAGTTCAAAAGAACGGCGTTATTATAATGTTAATGCTAAAAACTGAATTTTTGTAAAGTCTTAACTGTCACTTTTGATCAATTTAATGCATCCTTGATTCCCTAAAAAAATATATTGTAATAATCCCACATTTATAAATGTTATATATATATCTTTCTTACATAATAAAGTCATTTAAATAAAATCATTAAATCGAAATAAATATTTAAAGTTAGCCATTTGTAACTAGTGGGATAGTGTACAGGTCATTTTCACGAAATAAGCGTTTTTGCGTCCTAGCACAAGACGCGTCACTCGTACAGTTTTGAATGGGGAAAAGTGCAAAGCTCAATATGCCGGAATAAATCTAAATCCAGCCTGAAAACAAACAGTTTTGATAACAAACTAACATTGCGCCGCCCCTCGCGCATACAGCTCAACTAACGTGACCGTTATAAAGGTGTTTAAACAACAAAACACATTCACTTGCACATATTTGACAATCGGAATATCAGTGTTTCATGCTATAGCTAATACATTTGTGAATATTTTAAATAGAAAAGCAAAAAAGACATAAAAGCAGATCATCATTCATTCAGCGCTGTGTTGTGATTGTGCTAGGTCACTCGACAAGAAAAATGACGCGTCACCATGGAAACATTAAAGTGACAAGTTCTAAATAACGGTCGCCTTGAATATTTTTGAACTTATGTGTGAAAGGGATCATGCGCTGAACTTCCCACTCCCATTAGCGCTTTTTGGAAATTGTACTCTCACGCTAATTTGCCCTGTTTAGTAAATCTGGCCCTATATTAGTCACTGGCCAAGCTGCTTTCTAGGGATCATCGGTTGACCATTAAAGGGGACATATCATGCAAAATCCACTTTTTTAGCCCTTAAATGCATTTTGTTGTATATTTGGAGTGTTTATAAGTACAGAAAAGATGAAATTATTCTCTTCAGGTGCATATCTTTATATTCTGTTTTGGTCATATTTTTCAACCTGTTCAGATTTTTCTGTTGTCTATGACGTTTTTTGAGCAAGTGCGTCACCGTATTTGCAGCGGAACTGCCAAATAAGGACATTGACTACCGGTCCAAAACTTCGAGCAATCCGCCATTATTATTTCTCGCTCAGATTTTGTAGTCCGAGCTCAATGATGCAGAAGTTACGAGAGGGCAAGTCAAAATGTTCGGTTTTCGGATGTACGTTAGTGACCTGAAGCACTTCAAGGACTCCCACTTCAACAACCTCCGCCAGTAACGTTATACGGAAGGGTTTGCCGATTGACTTCGTCTGAATGAGAGGTAACATTAAATTCCTTTTTAGTTAAAGGGGCCGCTTTGAAACGGGTCGCTCAAAGACGCACATTAGAAAAGGGGCTTGTGGAGCTATAATAATGAGGAATTCAGACCCAAGCATTGCAGTTATGTTTTATATAGACCACAACGGTATGATTTATATGTAAAAATGAATGATTTAAAAGCATGATATGTACCCTTTAATGCAAATCTGTTGTATGCTAACCGCTTGTCTAGACATGTTAGCCCATATCTTTAGACCATAGAAGGAGACTCAGAAGAGTTCAGGCTTCAGAGCTCTAGCACAGCCTGTAGTGTGTGTTGTGTGTGAGGGCCGTGACTGACCACTGCCCCGCTATGACTGACACTCTACAGGACTCGATTCTACCACTCTCTGGGCCCAGTCAGCAGAGTGGGCCGCATCTCCTGCAGAGGAGCGCTCAGGTCCAGCAGGTAACTCAACCTCAACCCCCGCCAGGGTCTCTTTCTATCTGACTTACCCTGAACGACCGGGGAACTATCGCTGTCACAGTGTGTGTGTTCTTGCTGTGGAATCAGGTGGTGGGCTTTTTCCGAACCACACGTGTGCTATTGACTCTTATGCAGTCGTGGCTTATTGCTGTTAATCAAACGCCACTGAAGCTTCTCTTCTGATTGCTCCTGCTTTCTCCAAACACACACACACACACACACCTCCTCTCACCTGTGCTTCAATATCGCCGATTGCAAGTGGGAAAACAATGTCCTTTGTACATCCTGGTATTAAGATGCGTTTTCAGTGATCCGATCACAAGTGGTCAATTTCGCAATTTCGTCAAAAAGTGGCAATTTCGTCTAAGCCCCATCCTTCTCATATCCTCACACTCGTATAATTTTTAATGGGAGTGCAGGGGGAAGGAAATAAATGGTAACAGTGATTTCAATCATTATCTGTGTTTTGCCACAACATAGCGAAGTTGGAATCGATTGTTTTGGTGTGCTTTTTCAAAACGGTACATTTCCCATAAAGTGTGGATGTATAGACCATTTTGCAAGATGTAAACAACACTGGTCCAGAAGCACTTCCTGTTTCAATTTTTTAACACTACATATAAGCTGGGATAAAATACAACCAACAGAACATATAAAACTGAATCAAAAAGTTAAACAAACATCTTTAAGATGTTTTCTTTACATGTGAAATAAAGAAAACAGTTGCAAACTGAAACAGGAAGTGTTTCTGGACCAGTGTTGTTTACATCTTGCAAAATGGTCTACCGCATTTGACCACATGAATGCATCTTGTGAACGGATCGAAGAAAACACATTTTAACCTTCAGATGGAATCTGTTTTGAATTTCTAAAAATCACAGCTTCGTCGGAATGTTATGAAACTTGGTGACTTTTATGGCATTAGGTATGTGAATAAAAAAAAAAAAATTGAGGTCATGATCCGATGCTAAGTGGTCGTAAAAAAAATAGTCACTTGGCTCTGTTTTGTGACAGGGAAAGAACATAAAGAATGTGTAACTGGCGTAATCAATTACATCGACACATTGTTTCAGCTGTACAATACAGCCAGTTTGCGAAAGATACGAATACTAATGATTTCCAATAAAAAAATTTGCGTTGGGTTCAGCTAGTCATGCAAATTTTCCACGTTGACCAATAAAAAGTTGCTTGGTTTGAAAGTGACTTCCTTTTGAGTCACTACACTAGATCACTACACTATTACCATTGAAAGTTTTTTGTCAATGTGACCACACCTTTAAACTCCAAAAATGCAACTTAAAACTAGTTATTTTTTTCCCACTGGTCATGGGATTGTCTAACAGCTTAAAGGGATACTTCACTTTTTTTGGAAATAGGCTCATTTTACCACTCCCCCAGAGTTAAACAGTTGAGTTTTACCGTTTTCGAATCCATTCAGACGATTTTCTGATATTCAGAAGAATATGAGTAACCAGACAGTTTCTGGTCTCATTGACTTCCATATAGTATGGAAGTCAATGAGACCAGAAATTGTCTGGTTACTGATATTCTTCTAAATATCAGAAAATCGGCTGAATGGATTCAAAAATGGTAAAACTCAACTGTTTAACTCTGGGGGAGTGGTAAAATGAGCCTAAGTGGAGTATCCCTTTAATGTCAACACAAACTGGAAGTTGTGACTGACTTGCAACTACTGCATTTCTTTCAAAGTGAAGTTTAATAAAATGACTTGCTTTTCTCCATTGGCTGTTGTGAGTGCTGCATACTTGTGGTGAAGTGAACTTTTAATGTTTTTTTAACGCATTTCCGCTTGAGATCCTTCCTCAGGGTATACAAAAAACACAATACATGAACATTTCTTAAAAAAAAAAAACATCTCCAAATCAATAAGAGTTTGGGAAACAAAGGGAATATAAGCTACAGCTGACACGTTCCACTTACTGTATAACATCACACTCCATTTTAGAAAGTAATTTGTTAAAAAGGTTTATTGTCAAGATCAGACAATCAACCAATCAGAATACATCCTTGTCAAATTGACTTCTTCCACATTCTTCTGTCATAATGGATTCAGTCAACAAGCATCAAGGCAACAACTTCCATTTAAAAAAACATCTGAGTAACACAATACACTCCAAACTTCACAGAAACTCTTTAAGCAAGTCCAAAAAGCCTCTCTCTTTTTCCTTGTGTAATCAGTTACCTTCTCTTGTGCTCTGCTTTATCTTTTCAGTACTACGAAAGAAAAGGAATAGGAAAGCTCTAAAGCCGTAACGCATCCTTATTTTTTCAGAAACCATTAAAAGTTCACCACAAGTTTTACTGGAATTCTTTTTTTGTTCTGATAGTTCTGTTTGTTTCCATGCACCTCGTGATTGGGGGAAGTTGCATCAGATCTGTTTACTCGTACCGGAATAGAGCCAATTGACATTTTGATTAAAAGGTTGAAAAATTGATGTACAGATGAATTGTTCACAGTGAGACGAGTAAACGGGGTCAAGCGCTGAATAATTAGGGTCCATCGGGTGCAGTTCTTGGGGGCCTTTTATATAGGAAGTGTTCTTGTGTTCAAAAAGGTGAACAGTAGAAACAGAACAGTTGAAGTGCAGTAGCCTCAGATGCAGACCTTAAAAGAATGTGAATAATAACAGATTTAAAGCAGACGATTTGAAGTCTGACAGCAGTCGTCTTGAAATGTTTTGTTGAAAGTGGTGAATTTGTTGCACAAACAGTGCTTTGATGGCCGCAGTGGTGCTTTATAAAGGGTGAATTATGAAGACTCGACGTCAGACTCGGCATGCTAAAACACTTGCAGAGAGCCTGTGTCTGTAAATCCATCCCTTTTAAAACACTGCTGTGAAGAAGCTATTAAAATAACTTGGATAAGTTAATTCAGTAATGAAGGACATATGTTACTCATGGTTAACAGATGACCAGTGACTTTTGCAAATCAACAGTAGGGTGTTCAGCCAGTCATAACAAAGCTAATCTGCATTAGATGGGTGGTGATTGCGCAGTGCATAAGACACATGCCCTTGGTGTGAGAGACCCAAGTTCGAATCCACTGTGAGACACCAATGTTTCCCTGAGCAAGACACTTAACCCCTAGTTGCTCCAGAGGCGTGCAACCTCTGACATATGTATAGCAACTGTCAGTCGCTTTGGATAAAAGCATCAGCTAAATGAATAAATGTAAAGGTGCTTAAACCCTGTTTAAAGTATAAGTATCAGAGTAGAAAATGGTCATCATAACCTTTTCTAAGGCCCCGTCCACACTACTGCATTTTCGTTTAAAAACGGAGACCTTTTTGCTACGTTTGCACCTCCCGTCCAGGCTAAAACGGAAAAAAACGAAGACCTGAAACGGAGAAGTTTAGAAACACTGCTGCTCCGTTTTGCATTTTGAACCTCCGGAGGGCGTTTTAGGGTAGACGGGACAAAACGGAGGCGCAGAGGCTCTATGATTCGGTGTTATCAGTCATGATGTGTCCTTCCCTGATTCGTCAGCCACCGTTTACTCCGGCAGTGTTGGTGAATGGTCACGTGATCCGCGTTTTGAGTCGTTTTAATGTGGACGGAGATCAATTCTAATACGCAGATGAAACGCGGGTGTGGACGGAAATCGTATTCAATTTAATTCTCCGTTTTTAAATGAAAACGCAGTAGTGTGGGCGGGGCCTAAGTAGACAAAAGTGTATTAATGAGCAGTATGTCAGTATACAGTTGTGTTAATGTTACAAGTGTTTTTTTTTATTATTATTATTTTATAAAGATCTTCCAATATTGCGGCCTACGTATTAAATCAAACTAAATAAAGCCAATTTTTTTTTTTTTGATTTAGAAATGAATAATGAAGGAATGTTTTGTGGCTCTTTAAATGTCTGTAGACACAACATTTGTAGGTGGTAGAGTCTTATTTCTGTACTTGTGAAAAGAGATTGCTTTTGGGATAATGTAGTAGCGGAGAAAAAGTTAGGAAAAAAAAAACGTAAACAAACAGTTCCTGTCAAATTTCCTAAGTTGCAAAAAAAGAGAAAAGATTCTGAAGACTGCGCTGATTCTCGATCGAATATCGAATGAAGAAAAAAAAAACGTATTCTAGCTCTGAAGTCACACAATAGGTTTATGTGAGGAACAAATTATATATTAAAGTTGATATACATTGGGTGAACTATCGCTTTAAGAAAGATAACAGTCAAAATTATGTTTTTCACAGTTCACTCATTTTCTCTCTTTCCCTCAAACACTCTCACTTTCTTCACTTTCACATTGTGGCTTTTAATATGCATCTCTTGTGTGATTTATAATTTGATTTGTCTTTTTAAAAAGTCTGTTACATGTCCCTGTGTGTCAATTAAATGTGTGTGTGTGTGTGTGTAGCTCTGCTGAGTCAGAGGAGCTGGCGGTGCATCTTTACCCAGGAGCCGTCACAGTTCAGGGGGTCTTACGCAGGAAAACAGTCCTCAAGGAAGGCAAGAAACCCACGGTGAGAGCAACACTTCACCCGTCTCCTGTCCATATACTCCATTTGGTCTCTCCCTGTGATCTCATACACCGTCTCTTTCTTTCTTTTCCAAAATTTCCATTTAAAAAGGATGATTTTTTTTTTTTAAAGGAGAAATTGCTCACAATATATCTTTTTATTGTTGACATAAAAGGCTTTTCATGAACTTTATTTTGATACCTGACACTTGAAATAAGAATTGGGTTTTGTTTGGTCACTGCTTGATGTCCAGTGTAAATCAAAACCAGTTGGGATCCTCTGCTCAAGTGCTTTTCTCTGCCGTTTTGTCTCTTCCCCTCTTGCCCTCTCCTCATAATCTTCTCTCAATCTGCTCTTTTATCTTTATCTGCTCTTTTTTAGAGAGAGAGTGAAACGAGCCAAGTCAGTAAAAGATACTGTGTTAAGGTCCAGTAATGGGAGCTGAGAGGCCTTGTAAAAGCCTGCACATATTTGATCTGACATGAAATCTGCCTATCTCTGTCTACTGTCTTTCTAGACCTTTTACTCATATATGCATGTAGATATGTTGGATAACTACATGGTTTCTTGTATAAGCGTATAATTACCATACATAAGCATATAATTACCATACATCATTCAGTTAATCTTGATTAATATGTACAGATTACTTCTTGGCCTTACATTATGTTTTTTGCTTGTTCAGGAATGCTGTTATTGATATATTGGACTTAATGGGGATTATTTTACTCTTAAAAAAAGTGGTGATACTTTATTTTACAGTGTTCTTGTTACATATGTTACTTGTACTAGTAATAGTAGTAATAACAGTACATTATGCAATTAACCAAACCCTATTCCTAACCCTAGTTAGTACCTGTTATTAGTTATTATTACTCAGTCCTGAAATACTGTAACAAAGACACCTTAAAAAGCCTTTAAAAGTGTAGCCAATAGTTCAACTTTGAAAAAGCACACTTTGAAGCTGTCTACGTGTGTGGTAGTGGGATTTAATTTAACCAATTATGTAATTGCACCAATTTGAGTGGTTGATAAATGCAGTATCTATGGTCAATTTATGCATTAATGTGCTTCAGTGTGTTTTCTTGTCTGTAGGTGGCAGCGTGGACTAAGTATTGGGTGGCTCTTTGTGGAACTCAGCTCTACTATTACACTGCCAAGTCCCTCAAGGCCACAGAGAGGAAGCATGTGAGTGTTTCCCCACTTTCACATTACTCTCACAAACCTTGTTGTTGCTTATTCTGGCAAAGAATTGGAGGAGTTTAAAGAAACTGGTCTATTTTAGGACTATCAGGATTTGCATTTGCACAAAATTTAATTAAAACACATCTATAAAATATTATTTGATGTTAGTAATAACTTTTTTTTATTAAGTATGATAGATTATTTCAATCGTACAGTATTCCATTCAGAGTGTGGGTTTGATAAAGATTTGAATGAACAAATGAATTCACCAAAGAGTAATATTGTAAAATATTATAATTACAGTTAACTGTTTTCTATTTTAATACAATATCATCATTAGTGATCCTTCGGAAATCATTCTAATATGATGATTTTCTGCTCAAGAAACTTTTATTATTATCATCAATGTTAAACGGTTGTGCTGCTTAAATATTTTTGTGTAGTCTATTTTTGATGAATAGAAAATTCAAAAGAACAGCATTTTATTTTAAATCGAACTCTTTTGAAATTTTATAAGTGTCTTTACTATCACTTTTGATCAAATGAATGAAACCTTACTGAATAAAAGTATTAATTTTATCCCAAAAAAAAAAAAACGTACTGACCCCAAACTTTTGAACAACGGTGTACCATGGTATATCTTTTTTTTTTTTTACTTCTTCTTTTGTTTATAAAAGAGTTGCATTGCAGTCATTAATACAGTAAAAAAAAAATGGAAATGGTTCTTGATGGAAATACATGTTGTGATGTTATTTCCATCAAGAAATGCATCAATTTTTGGTCAATATCTTGTATTGAGAATGCAAGAGTCCCGCACAGCTCATCCCAAAAACCCGCCCCAACGTTTCTGATTGGTGCCTCGATTTTGACGCTTTGGGCTCTTTGCCAGACTAACTTTCAAAGCAAATCTAAATTTGCCGGACGTTGTCTGGGTTTTCCCAGGCTAATTCGTCATGCTTCATTCTTACACGATTTGATCCTGATAAATCTTGACATTTGACATCTCGACATCCATGATGTGTCTTCCTACACGGTTCTTTAAAAACGAGAAGCTACTCTCCATCAGTTAAGGTTAGAAAGACTGTTGCCAAACATATATGCTAGAAACATAACAATCACAATCATAGACTCGTAACCATTTGCCTATTGAGATCCAAACAGTATTATGTAGGCAAAATGCAATGCAAAAAGTGATGTTCTTAACAATATCTGGAAAGTTTTATTTCCCTTTAGACTAATAAAAGGCTGATCGAGCCTCTTTCACAGGGGTGTGTCTATGAGGTTAGAACCGTTTAGCATACAAAATCCTTAGTCCAAGGTGGTCGATCTGAAGCTGATCGAGATGAAATGATGAAAGGAAGCATCACTCTCTCCTGCAGCCTGATGCGTCATCACTTAATCACTGCAGGATGACACTGATGGGAGAGTGCTTATTCTAATACCATCCAGCGGGAGAGGTTGGGAGAGATAGGGATCATGTGAGCGCCCAATGGACTGAATCATACAGAAAGCCGGGGAGTTGTAGAGAAGGGAGGAAGAGTGAATGCTAACAAACAACATATCTGATGACTGAAGACACAGGCTTCAGTGCCAAGTTAGGGCAGATGTTTGCAGTCATTGGATAATCAGATGGATGACATCATCAGTGCAAGCCCAGCTATCACACATTATTATCGGGATTAATGAGAAGCACATGTCGCTATCTAATACATTACACACACAGTAACAGGCCTACTTGTTTACACAGACACTTGCAATACAGGATTGTGCACACGACTGAAGCCGATCTGTATGCATGTATATATAAATTCTTTTTTCATTTTTTTTTTCATATAAAAAGAATTACATTTGATCATTTTTCAAAATTATGTAATAATAATAATAATGTATATTTTTAATAAATTAATTTGTATACAGATTGAAATTCGTATACACATTATTTGTAATTAAAATATTTATATTACATTGAAATAAATTGATTAGTAGCATTTTGGTCTTTTGACTAATTTTCCGTTTTTAATAATAATAGTATTTCAAATTTAATAAATTTCTGTACAAATTGTAATTCCAATAATGTAATATTATATAAATATATTTAATTTGTATAATATATATATATATATATATATATATATATATATAATAACAATAAATGTCAATAACAGTATCTCAGATCAGTTTAATTAATTTAAATACAAACTGGAAAAAACATTATGTAATTAAAAATATTATATTAAATTGGAAGAAAATATTTTAATATTTTCTTAAATATTAAATATTTTTATTAATAATTCATATTAAATATTAATATTAAATATTTTTTTAAATATTTATTTTAAAATGTTAATATTTTGACTGTATTTTTCAGTTTTAAATCAAATTAATAATAATACTAGCAAATGTTTCAAATGATTTAGACTAATTTCTATACAAATTGTAATTCCATTCGCATAATTTGTAATTAAATGTGTAATACACACATATATATATATATATATATAATTATTATTATTATTTTTTTTTATTAAATATTTGAACTGTAATTCTCACAGTTCAAGTCCACCGCCAGCAAAAGTGTTTCTGTTTTGGGCTTAATGGCCATGATGGCAGACGACCCGGAGCATCCCGACATCTTCCTGCTGACCGACTCGGAGCACGGTGAGACGGCCTGTCACAATCACTGTCCAGACAATGATATATGGATGCAATATTGTGACAAAAGATTTACAGTGTAGCTATGTATTATGATATGCACATTTTGTTGATTTTATTCATTTGTGTGCCCACAGGAAACTCGTATAAGTTCCAGGCAGGGAACAGAATGAATGCTCTGCTGTGGTTCAAACACTTGAGTGCAGCTTGTCAAAGCAACAGGCAACAGGTGTGTGTGTGTGTGTATGTGTGTGTGTACTTGTTCAGCTCAGAGGGTTATTTAGCTCAGTTTCTATTGTAGAGAAAATGCTATGAGCAATTTAGTGGCCTTCAGTGTGCACTTAATGTTCAGAGCGTTTCCATGTGAAAGCTACATTTTCAAGCTAAATGGAGAATTTTAATTGCTCCTCAGGAGATGCCATTGTGTGTTCGAATCCTTTGGGTTCAATAAATATGTGAACATTTTGCTCTAACCTTCTGTTTTAGGCAGAAAATCACTGACAGTGTTTCAGTGGGATCTATTAAATTAAAAACATTTCACATAATGGCCTTTTGAAAACTGTTGTTTCTGAATACACGGGTCAGACTGGACGTGTTCCGTCAGCTGGTGTTTAGTTCTTTATTAAACTGAGCAATGGCACTGCCCTCTAGTGCTTGTTATCATGTCAAGTGCAGTACTGAAGAAGCTTGTTTGAAAGCTAATCATGATTTACAATAGTGAAACCACAGTCAAGCTACGCTTTATTTAAACGGTCTAACTGCATCGCAAGCTACAGTAGAACTACAGAATTAAGCAAACAACACTGAAGGCATTTAGGTTATGTCTTTTTTTTTTAAATATGGGCCTATTAAATGTTAATTTCTATAATTATCAAATGCAATTTAATCTGCACCATATCTTTCTGGCAAAAAAAAACAAAAAACAGTAAGGGTCTTTAAATGAACATATTCAGTTAGAGGTACTGCATTAAACTTAAATGTATACACATTTTAACAAAAATCATTAGGGCTGTCAAACGATTAATCGCATCCAAAATAAAAGTTTGTGTTTACATAATATATGTGGGTGCACTGTGTATAATTATTTTATATATATATATATATATAAATACACACACATGCTTTTATATATTTAAGAAATATTTTCATGTATATACTGTGTATAGATTTATATATAATTTATATTATATATAAATAAATATTTTATATATAAATAATATTTTTTTTCTTAAATATACATGCATGTGTGTGTATTTATATATATATATATATATACAAAATAATTATACACAGTGCACCCACACATATTATGTAAACACAAACTTTTATTTCTAGATCAGATATGTTTGCATTCCATCATAATTTGCGCTGTTTTTTTCTTTTACCGCAATAGCATTTGTAAAGGGCTGCATTACACTCTAGTGCCACAGCGCCGTAGCGGTCAAATCGCGGTATTGCTTATATTAGGTCATGTGAGATCAAACTACTTAGAGCCAGACCGATATATCGGCAGACCGATATTATCGGCCGATATTAGGCATTTTCCAAACTATCGGTATCGGCAGTTATAATGGCCGATAAATGAATATTTCACAAATAAACTAAAAACGGACGAAACACGCTTGAACCATGTCATGAGTGTTGGAGTTGTATAGTTTGTCCACCAGAGGGCACTCAACACTGTCCCTGTTGGCAAAACTCGTTGAGTTGGTCACGAGACATACATTGCTTGAATAACAATTAAAAGAACATCCCCATCAGTTTGCTCAACTCAAATAAGCATGACAAAATTTGTGACTATCATGTCCAGTTTCAAATAAATAAATAAAATATCGGCACATACATCGGAATATTGGATTTTAAAACCCAAAAATATTTGTATCGGTATCGGCCGGGCTCTAAAACTACTACTCGACAACAGAGATATTTGTCGACAATTTTTTATTGTCGACCAATCGTTTCAGCCCTAGTCACGTCCTCTTTTTCCATTCCAGGTCCCGGCGAATCTAATGTCCTTCGAATAAATGAGACCATGCCGAATCAAAGACATGGAGAGTCGGTGAGCGGCTGGATGACAAGAGAGCAGAAGAGTATGAGGAACGCTGGGAATGGAGGAGAGACCTGAGATGAATAAAAGAGCAAATGACTCGTGTTTCTGTGTTGCGATGGAGCTTTCCCACTGCCATCACCCAGCCTGAACCCCACAGCAAACTCCTCGAGCACCACTGCCTTAACAAGCAGAGTGTGAGTGAATGTGTGTGTGTGTGTGTGAACGAGCAACGGTGTCCCCTCCGCTGCTCTCACTCCTTTTACATTTTATTTACACTTCCTCCATCATTCATCTGATTCCCAATGATTGCAAATGAGGATCTTGGACTCTTCATGGACCTCTGGAGTTTGTTTACACCTTCTTTACCTTGTGCGTTTTGCTTGTGTTTTATGTATTAACTGCTTGTGAATCTAATCGGCGCTTCTCCTCCTTTGACAAAACACACCCAGGAAACTCTCCAACCCCCGAAACACATTCGCAGAAAAGTCGATCGTGTGATCGCACACTTGAATTAGGCTCATGCAAGCATGGCGAGATTTTCCACAAGCAGGTTTAACTGCAGGAAATGGAAGACCCTCGTTTATTGACACGCAACCAGAAAGGGCTCCGATACTCAATGAATTCCAGACTGAATGTTTCTATTCTTTTTTACGGATTCTGTAGCCCTTTTTTTAGCTCATATCCACACAAACATTTGTTTGTTTTTGCTAGAAGGTTTGTAGGAAGAAAAGATTGAGAAATGAAGATGTTTGAAGCCTCGTCCAGCTTCAAAACATCAGCAATAAGTACCGGTTTACACCAATTCAAACAAATTCGCTTCTGGATTCACAGTAAGAGTCGACTAGGAGGACACGCGTACATATATACACTTTTCAAGCTGTGAATGTTAGTGGACGCAGAGGTTTACATCTCCAAAACTTGTATTTAGTCCTATTATGTTTAGTTTTTTTCCCAGTGAAGCAGTGGTTTCTCAATGGGATGTTGTGATTGGTGGGAGATGGAGCAGGAGACAAGGCACTTGTGTTGTGATGTTTTGCTTTTATTTTATAATTTTATTTCAGTATTACTGGGATAGTTGCACATGTCTAGACTATTTTAATTGTCTGTTACATTAACATGTTACATTTCGAAAGTTACGCCAGCTCAACAGTTTCTGCTTCTTCTTGTTGAGCCGTTAAGGTTCTTGTTTGCTCAGTTAGAGAACAGCTTTATCAGTTTATATGGGGAACAAATGATCCGGACCATGATGTCTCAGGATGTTTCATTAAATGTGTCCGTCTTTATCTTTCAAGTTTATGGTGACTAGATCCCGTTCTTCTGCTTTCCATGGACTGGTTTATTTCTCCAAGCTCAGCTCTAATGTTTCCATTTGTGTGGAACGTCAAATGAAGATTCAGAGTCTTAAACCCTCTTGAGAGTAGGAGAAAGGAGATATTGGGCAATAAATGAATCCACAAATCCAACTTTGCTTGGATGATGAGCTCAAGAAACTTCTTCCAGAGTGTCAAAGTGCTGCAGCGACCAACAATAATAAACCAAATTGACATGAATAAATGGTAATGGAGGAGTTGGCATCAGGTTTGGCTTTGTTAAAAAGCTATCGTAGAGCTGAGGTAGAGGAAGGCTTGCGTTGCTTTTCTTCGTTAAACAGAATATTTTATTCTGGTGAGGCGTCTTTGAAGCACAGCACAGGCTACACTGAGACATTTGAGAAATGCTGGTTGTGACAGATGAGCTGATCCGGGGTAGTTTGCGTATGTTCTGAGCCTTTAATATCAGGTATTAGCACTTTGGGTTGTGAAAAAAGCTCTGAGATCTGCCACATTAAAGAGACGTGATGCAGATAAAAGCAACGCGAGTCGGTTGAAAAGCTGTTGACTAAGTGTTTACATGATTGGAGGAGTGTTATTTTGGCTCAAACTGAAATTCGGAGGCTGGTTTACAGGCAGAGAAGCTTCAGAGGATCTTGTGTGGTCGTAACCAGCCAAATGAACTTGGCACAAAGGTGTTGAAGTGGGAAATGTTCCTAATTAAATGAAGTGGAAGAGTGCCTGTATGCTCGTAAACATCACTGATGTATGCATCTTGACAAGTCACCAACCTTTACCAACGAGGACTTGGACCAAGGTAAATTACAATGTGATTGACATTGTTTAGCTTTCTTTCTCTGAAATGTTCCTTAGACATGGATGACGGTTGACGTTATGGAAGAGTTCATAAACGGAGACAGAAGAACAGTGGGAAACATGACTAAGCTGCCTCTGTTATGAAATATACATTTTTGGACCTTTTTAATTTTTTTCTGGATTTCATTTTTTTTAGTTCCAGTTGTTTACTTCACACTACATCTCTCTCTCTCTCTCTGAACAATAATGAGATAGTTTTAATGAAATTGTCCATGATTTTGTTTTTCTTTCTATCGTATTAAGAAATTATTGTTGCTGGAATTTTTTTTCTTTTTCTATGCAGTATGATTGAAATTCTCCAACATACTTTGTACTGTTCAGTTTAGCTATCTTTCTATGAACAATGTGTATCATTCACACACAGACTTCTCTTCTCTGCCGCTTTCTTTGGCTGTTTGAACTTCACCGCATCACTTGTTTTATGTTGTGGTGTGTTAAAAGGACTGATACTGGTTTGTAGTGAGTTGTGTGTGTGTGTCTCACTCTGTCACCTGCTCCCACCCAGCCCTGATCCCACACCCGCTGGGACCCATGACCCAGTGCAGCACTATGACCTTTGACCTGAGAGATGTGCTCCTGGGTTCCAGACAGGACAAAAATAATAAACACTTTTGGTTGTTTGTTTTTTAATCCAGTGGTCCGGTGTGTTTTTTTCACTGAGTGTGTTCAGAATTGCATACAAACATTCTGCTCTTACTGTTTCTGCAGTTTGTAGTATGTAGATTTTCTACCGGATGACCTTTATTATTATTTTTTTTTTCCTAAATATATACAGGTCCTTCTAAAAAAAATAGCATATTGTGATAAAGTTCATTATTTTCCATAATGTAATGATAAAAATTTTAACTTTCATATATTTTTGATTCATTACACACCAACTGAAATATTTCACGTCTTTTATTGTTTTAATACCGATGATTTTGGCATACAGCTCATGAAAACCCAAAATTCCTGTCTCAAAAAATTAGCATATCATGAAAAGGTTCTCTAAACGAGCTGTTAACCTAATCATTTGAATCAACTAATTAACTCTAAACACCTCAAAAGATTCTTGAGGCTTTTAAAAACTCCCAGCCCTTTTCATTACTCAAAACCGCAATCATGGGTAAGACTGCCGACCTGACTGCTGTCCAGAAGGCCATCATTGACACCCTCAAGCAAGAGGGTAAGACAGAAAGAAATTTCTGAACAAATAGGCTGTTCCCAGAGTGCTGTATCACCTCAGTGGGAAGTCTGTGGGAAGGAAAAACGAGAAGAGGTGACCGGACCCTGAGGAACATTGTGGAGAAGGACCGATTCCAGACTTTGGGGGACCTGCGGAAACAGTGGATTGAGTCTGGAGTAGAAACATCCAGAGCCACCGTCTGCAGGAAATGGGCTACAGGTGCCGCGTTCCCCAGGTCAAGCCACTTTTGAACCAGTAACAGCGGCAGAAGCGCCTGACCTGGGCTACAGAGAAGCAGCACTGGACTGTTGCTCAGTGGTTGCATGTTATTCGGAAATCAAGGTGCCAGAGTCTGGAGGAAGACTGGGGAGAAGGAAATGCCAAAAGTCCAGTGTCAAGTACCCCCAGTCAGTGATGCCATGTCAGCTGCTGGTGTTTTATCAAGGGCAGGGTCAATGCAGCTAGCTATCAGGAGATTTTGGAGCACTTCATGCTTCCATCTGCTAAAAAAAGGGTAATGGAGATGAAGATTTCATTTTTCAGCACGACCTGGCACCTGCTCACAGTGCCAAAACCATTGGTAAATGGTTTACTGAGCATGGTATTACTATGATCAATTGGCCTGCCAACTCTCCTGACTTGAACCCCAATCTGTGGGATATTGTGAAGAGAAAGTTGAGAGACGCAAGACCGAACACTCTGGATGAGCTTAAGGCCGCTATCGAAGCATCCTGGGCCTCCATAACACCTCAGCAGTGCCACAGGCTGATTGCCTACATGCCACGCCGCATTGAAGCAGTCATTTCTGCAAAAGGATTCCCGACCAAGTATTGAGTGCATAACCGAACATAATCATTTGAAGGTTGACTTTTTTTGTATTAAAAACACTTCTTTTATTGGTCGGATGAAGTATGCTAATTTTTTGAGACAGGAATTTTGGGTTTTCATGAGCTGTATGCCAAAATCATCCATATTAAAAAAATAAAAGACCTGAAATATTTCAGATGGTGTGCAATGAATCTTAAATATATGAAAGTTTAATTTTTATCCCAAAATGCATGCCTTTTTATATTTCCATTCTGGCGAACAAACCCTGAATTACATTTATCAATCATGATTTTTAACATCTCTTTGATGAGTCATTTGATCTCACCAGGGTTACCGTAACTCTGACAACTGGTTTCATTTAAAAATGTTCATCTCTCTAGTGTTGTATCTATTTAGTGGCATTTTCATGTGGCAGGTTATAAAGTTGTATAGCATTAAGGCCATTGCACAGAGTCCGAAAATTTCGTATTTTTTGTTTTGGTGGCTCAAACACCATTCAAACTGCTTGCTTCAGATGTAAAAAGTGCATGACGTTTTGGAGGCAGTGTGCAAGCGTGGTTGACACAACATAAGGTCGCATTTATTTTTTAACGTGTGAAAATTTCGGATGCGAAATTCAGACTCAAGGCCCTTGAGTCTGACATTTGCATCCTATATTTTCGCACGTTAAAAAAATTAAATACCAACCACCAGCCCTTTACCACCAAGAGTGCACATGCGAAAGGCTGTACAGTAGGGCAGAACATCGCAGAAGAATAGGACGTTCTAAAAAAAAAAAATCTTGGCTAATAAATAAAGTATAATTGTATTTTTGCAGGTTTGCAAAATATTCTGCATTTGCTGTTCACTGTTTTTAACCATTTTGAGGAATACAGGACATGTTTTTGTATGCCCACATTAGTTGCTCGCCTTGCTCTGTTCTGTGATGCGCGTTCGTGACTCTCCTGTTCGAACTCGTTTATCAAAATGAACGAATCTTTTTTCGTGTCATTTGGTTCATTCAATAAACTTGGAAAAAGATTTGTTCATTTTGATAAACGAGTTCGAACAGGAGAGTCACAAACGTGCGTCACAGAGCAGAGCAAGGCGAGCATTTGAGCTTATAAAACGTAAAGTTTATTTATGTTTGAAATGAGCGATCGTTTTGCTTGATAAGACCCTTATTCATCGTCTGGAATCGTTTAAAGCCCTTTGAACAGTTTGCACTGAAAGTGTCTTTTGGACCTTGAAATGTTTGGTTCCCATTGAAGTCCATTATATGGAGAAAAATGCTGGAATGTTTTCATCAACCTTAATTTCTGACTGAAGAAAGAAAGACATGGACATCTTGGATGACATGGGGGTGAGTAAATTATCAGCAAAAGTGTAATAATGCAATAGGGTTAGCCGCAAAAATAACTGTCCACAGCTTTTCAGCGCTAATTTTTCACTGTCTTTATAGACAGTATAACTCCAAAAGTAGGTTTATGCTGGTGCAAGCTGTTAGTAAATCTGGCCTTTAGTCTAGAGCATGGGTCACCAAACTAAGGCCCGCGGGCCGAATCAGGCCCGCCACACCCCTTTGACTGGCCCCCCAACCCCTCTGCCCCCCACTACTTGAACCGGCAATCCCCAAAAGTCGTCATGGCCTATTTTTTTAAATTGCTTTTTGGAAAATAATAACATGTCTGCATTTGGTATTTTGTTGTTTATTGAGCATGCTCACCTGGATAGGCATAAGAGCTATTACTCATGTTGTTGTTATAATTTCAATGTTTATTTATTTATTTTATAGGCCTATTTATTTGACCTTTATTAAGTGCTGTACACAATTATTATAAATAGTAACAGGCCTACCTATAATTTATAATTTTTCATTCATCCTTACCAGTGCCACTCACCTCAACTAGGCAGATGTTTCTTACCTTGACAGGTTTGATGTTATTTGTATTCGAAAATAAATAAATGGAAAATCTGTGGTATTTCAAATTAAAACAAAGTGTGAAGACTCGATTACTACTTTTGCAAACAACTATTAATGATAAACAAATATGGCTGTGCCAGGCTAGTAATCTCTACTATGAGGCCTGCTGGTGGTCAGTTTGGTCTTGGTCACACAATTCTATTTTATATAGCCCCGGCCCCCCATCACAGTCAGGAACGATAATGTGGCCCCCAGAGAAAAAAGTTTGGTGACCCCTGGTCTAGAGCTACAATAACCATCATATTCACACAACCCTTCTGCACATAGGCATACTCCTAATTCTCTCAACATGAGGACCAGAGAGCTGTCAGTCAATGAATGGGAAAACAAAGCAACTTCCGCTTGTTTGAAAAAGTAACTCAGATATTTTTTGTCAATTTAAATGTAATGCGTTACTTCATTAGTAACTTGAAAAAAAAAAAGTAATCAGATTGTATAACTTGCGCTACTTGAAATGTGTTGCCACCAACACTGGTAAACAACATGCTGTAGCATTCCTTTCTTATCATCGTTTGTGTGTGTTTACATACACCTGGCTTGTGTTGAAGCTCAGTAGTCATACTGTAGAAGTAAAACTAGTATTCTGTCAAGATCTATGATGCTCCACTTTTAAATGCGTGATCCTTTATGTTTCAGTGGGGTATTTTTAGCTGCACTTACAGTGAGTTTCTTTAAAGACGTGCTAACCATTAGGAATGTGGATGGGAAGGTGAAGGAGGGCAGCATGTTTGTGTGTGAAAAGCTACATTTTTACACAGAGAGGGCTTCAATGAGGTTTTGTTTCTCAGTGAACACTATACAACTTTTGTACAACACAAAAGGAGTTTGCTACAATCCCCCAGGCTGCTCATTTAATACGCGGACCGAGGGTGTTGAACACAGTTGTCAAGCTCAGAGGACACAACAGAATCTTACAAAGACTGTATGAGGGTTTAATGTGAGGAATCGACAAAATAAAGTCGTTTCACTTTAAATCTTAGCCTGCTGTAGCTCATCAATTTCAATTGGGCATATTAAAAAAATGTATAGGCCTACTACTAGTGTTATGTTAGAGATTGATAGATGCATTCATTTGTGCTGTATTTCAGACAATCAGTCAGGAAGAAAGGAATGAAATGGTTTGAATGTGCATGACTCATGAGGATGAGTAACTGGTGACAGAATTTTTGTTTTTGGGTGAAGAGGGGTTAAAGGGGTAGTTCACCCACTCATTTGTCATTCATCACACCCTCATGTCATTCAATATATTATTTACATATTAATATTTATGTTTGTTAGTTGTTTTGATCCATATGGAAGTCACTGGCCACCAAAACTGAACTTTGTGTGGGTGAGTATAATTTCCATTTTGGGTGAACTAACCCTGCCCATGTTTATGATTAGGTAGCTTACAACATATAATATAGCCTAGCCTAAGCTAAGGAATGGATGTTATGTTGGTATAATCATACGGACCTTTAGTCACAGACAGTAGCCTACATTAATGTACTGAGTGTGTGATAGCCTACTTCCCCCTGCTGTTCAACAAGAGACAGTCAAGAGGAAAATTGCTGTGTGTGCTAACTTAACTATATTTTGGGGACAAATTTGACCCAGAATTGACCAAAAACCTTCCTTTAAGCCTAGTTCACACTACATGATTTTAAAATGTCGGGCTGAACTGTGCAGTTTACA